TTCTTTTCTTTTCGGTAAATCTCCTTTCTCTTTATCAATAAATTCTCCTTCTCAATCATCATCAAAACCTCCTTCAAGATTAGGAAAATTTAATATTAGGCATCCAAAATCTTCTTCTACTAATTGTAGAAAAGCTTTACCTATTTCTCCTGCTGAATTGGCTGAAAGATTGAGAGATCCTTCATCACGTAACTCAAAAATTGATGATGAATGCTCTCAATTTTTTTCTATTGAAAATAATAATAATAACAATAATAGTAATAATAATAAATTTAGTAATAAATCTTCTTCAAAACCTATCCTTATCGATGTACGTAATCTATCTTTATACCAAGATGAACATATTCGTGAATCTTTCAACGTAAATCTTCCTACCCTTCTTATTAAACGTTATCGTCGTGGAAATATGAGCAACTTTTCTTTGGTTTCTTTCATAACTACTCCTGAAGGACGTGATAGATATCTCGATAAAGTTCAAGATGATGCTTCTAAATTTAATAATGATATTATAATTTTTGATGAAACTATGGATGAAAATGATAAAGTTAGTCCTGGTTGGACTTTATTAGGTGTTTTGGAACGTGCTATGTTAAATTATCATTATAATTCTTCATCTGAAAATATTGATCAAAATAATAATGATAATTGTAAAGGACGTGTTTATTGGCTTAGAGGTGGTTTTGAAGCTTTTAGATCTTGGGATCAACCTGGTGAATTCTTAGTTACAGGTCCTGATGTTGGAGCTTTTTCGGATAATAATGATCCAAATTATAATTCTTCTTTAATGGATCTTGAAGGTCAAGAACAACAACAACAACCTCAAAATGGTTCTGGTTTAGTTAGAAGAGATTCTTTATTTTCTGTTAATACTGAACGTAATTCTTTAAGGCGTAAATTAAGTGATAGACAACAAGATTCTCAAATTGAAGAAAATATTCAACCTATTGATTTACCTTCTGATGATCTTAAAAGAAGACGCCCTTCTAATGGTTTACAATATCTTTTCACTCAAACTAATGGTGATAAAAGATTATGTATGTATTATTTAATTTATAATGTTAAATTATATTATATAATTAATATTATATATTATTATATAATTATAATTATGTTATATGATTATTCCTATAATACCATTTAATTTATATATATAAATATATATAATTTTAGGTGAACCTTTATATTTGGGTAATAACGGAGATAATAATTATCCTACTAGTACCAATAATCAATTGACCTCGGTTCAAACAAATCTAGATAATGATAATTTAGATTCACCTGATACTCCTGCACCAGTCACTCATCCTGAAATTGCTTTCGTGGTTTCTACAATTATTCCAGGATTCCTTTATCTTGGTCCTGAAATTTCAAAACAAGAAGAAGTAGAAGAAATTGAATCAAAAGGCATTAAAAGAATTTTAAATATGGCTTTTGAATGTAAAGATACTTTAGGTTTAAATGAAAAATTTGATCAATACCTTAAATTAAATGTTAAAGATTCTGTTGAGGAAGATGTAGAGAATGGATTAAAAGCGGCTGTTGCATTTATTGGTTAGTATTAATTTATTAATTTAATTTAATTTATTTAATTTAATTATTAAATTTTTAACTTAATGATTAAATTATTTAATTTAATTTATTTAATTTATTAATTTATTTATTAATTTAATTTAATTTATTAATTTTAATAATTATAATAGAACAAGCCGAAAAAGACAGAATGCCAGTATACGTTCATTGTAAGGCTGGAAAATCGCGTTCCGTGACTGCTGTCTTAGCTTTCCTTATTGAATCACGTCGTTGGACTTTAAGTCATGCTTACGATTATGTTATGAATCGTAGAAGTGGTATTTGTCCAAATATTGGATTTGTGGCTGAATTAATGAAGGTTGAAGAAGGTGTTCTTGGCATAAAAAGGAATAATTTCGCGAATTCCGAATTTGATATTCGAGGTCAAGAAATGATAAATATGGAAGGTGTTGAACCTCTAAACAAAACTTCATGATGTATTCCCCTAAAAAAAAGAGAGATGATAAAAACCTCAAGAAAAAAAATTTAAGGCTATTGATACCAAATTCACCATTTCTTGTAATATATACACTTTTTCATCTGTCGAAATATCTAGTTTTTGTGTATCTTAAAAGCCTTTTATTGATTTTTTTATTTATTGAAAAGGTCGGATTAATATTTGGTTTATTTTTTTTTTTGTGCATTGATTTTAACACATTGATGAAAAAAAACTTTTTCTGTAAATAGTCATATACTTTGTTCTAAAAAAAATTTTTTTTTGAAATTATAAAAAAAAACAAATTTTCTATAAAAAATTTAAATTTCAGTTTTTTTTTTTTTGTATATAAAAGTTTTAGTTTAAAATGCTTGAATGTGTTCTTTCCCATATTTCTTTTCGTGATCTATCAAGTAATATATGATATTTTTTGAGATTCACGATAAGGACTTGGAACACATCGGTAACCCCCCTCCTCCTCCTCCTCCTCCTCCTCATAGATTTTGTTTTTTCATTATGAAGAATAACTATCTTATCGTTATTATAAAAAATTAATTTTATATATATATTTAAGTTATATAATACATATTTAATTTTCGTAATTTTTTTTTTTCCCCCTTCTACATAAATGTATATTTTTTTTGATATAAATAATTTAATTGTAATTTTTTTGCCGAAAAGTCTTTTGACAATAAAAATAGACAACTTGTTAAAAAAAAAAAAACTAATCTATTTAAGTATATAAAATAAAGTTAAATCAGTTATAGTTTTATGGGGTAATTTTTTTGTGATCCTACAAGATCGAAGATCAATAAAAAAAAAATCCAATTATTTTTGATTTTTTGATCATCAAAAAAAAAAAAAAAAAAAAAAACTAACACTAATTTAATTTGTGAAATAGTTACACAAACATTTCAAAAATCCGGGTGTTCTAAATTTTACGTAATTTGTACAAGTTTGTGTAAGTTTTTTTTTTTTTCGGGTAATTTTAAATTTTCATGTAATTAACTTTGTACTTCATAAACAGATGATTTTTTAACGTAACATTTTTAAGGTTACAAAAAATAAAAATAGTGGTAAGTAGATTTAAAAAAAAATAATTCGGTAAACTTAAAATTTGAATACATGTGATTTTAGACCAGTCAGGTCAGATTAAAAGATTGGAGTGTAACGTTGTAAAAAAAAGTTTGTGTAAAAAAAAAATTTCAGTATGTAATTAATATTCCTTATTCCCGGTATAATCCGTCAAATTTTTTTTTTTTGTTTAACGATTTTTTACATGATGATTTTGGTTCTTAATCATAATGCATGGTTTTTAGGTAAACGTTATGTCAAAAATTTGTCTTGTAGGAAACTTCTACACATAATTATGACTTCATTATTAAATATTTTGCATAACTATAATATAAATTACCTGGTACGTATATAATAATCTTATTTTAACTTAATATATGAATAAATTTAATGTTAATCTAACTATAAATTTTTTAGTTATATTTTTTTTTGAAGTGATAAATAACATGTCGGCTAAAAATTTATTGGTACTTGGATTTTTCTAGTCAAATGCTAGGACCCATGAAATTTTAATTTGGATCCTAATTTATATTAATATAAATTCGATTTAGTATTAATGTTTTTAATTTTAATAAATATATTAATTAATTTTTTTGGCTAATTATATATATAAAGTAATTAATTATCATATATAGAGCAATTATCATAAATTTCGGTCTTTAATAAGTATATTTTGTGATTAGAATTAAATAATTTTTTATATTATTTTATTTATCTTATTGAAATAAATTAAATAATATAAAATTTTTTTAATTCTAATTACTAAATTACAAAATATACTCATTTAAAGATCGAAATTTAAAATAGTTAATGTTTCTTTTTGCTATAAGGATCCTCATATAATAATTAAAACTAATTTAATTTCGAAACTGTTTTTTTTGTTGTAATTTAAATGAATTTTACTAAAACATATTTATAGTGTTTTATATCTATATATATATTATTTCAAAACTAGCTAATTAATCAGTATGAGATGTTTTAAATAAAAATGTTTTACGTTTCTGAAAACCTTTTCAAAATTCTAATACTAACTAATTTAAAAACTAACTTTAAGAATGATAAATCAAAAATTTTATATAAAAACTTAAAACTTAGAAAATTTAAAAAAAATATAATAAAAACATATCAAATATAACAGATACAAAACATCATAGATATGTTTTATAATAATTGATTTAAATTTATTTATTTAGCTATTTTATAATAAAGTTTTTTTTTATTTATTTATTTATTATTATTATTTTTTTTTTTAACTTAAAGGTAGAGGATACTATTTTAAAATTATATATAAACTTAATGATACTTTTTTATTTTTTAATATTATAAAATATTTTTTTAAACAAATATTTTTATACTTCTAAGTAAAATTGTAGAATATATTTTTGTAATTCTATTTTTTTTTCTACTTAAGTGATTTTGTCCTTTATTTTATTAG